AATTTTTGTGGGTAATATACCTTACTCATTTAATACTATAATTTAAATACACATAATTATAATTTGTACATTAAAATAAAAATTATTACTCTTTTCTCTTCTTCTATTTCCTTCTGTTTTTCTTTATATCTAATTGTATATCACAGTAACGTTTTTGTAAGATGTATCATAATAAATATATTCTATTAAATAAGTGTATATTATATTAACACACACACTTTAATAAAATTATATATTAAACTTAAATATCTTATATTTAATATTACTAATATATGTATATATATATTCTATTGAATTTAATCCAATTGTACAACATTTTTTTATAGACACATTTTTTAAATAAAAACTTTAATATAATTTATTTTATAGTTATTCAAAATTACTAAATTTATACATATACGCACACATCATCATTATAATTTATATATTAAAATAAAAATTATTTTTTTCTCTCTTATTTACATCTGAGATATTGCAATTGCAATTTAGTAAGATGCATTAAGTGTATAATATTAAAGACTTATAAGAATCAAGGCACGAATTGAGATATGTTTCAAGTGGAAATCGAGCGTTTCCAATGGCACGCTTTGATTTCTGTAACGAGAAAATAATGTAAAAGTCAGACGGCCTTCTCTGCAGTACGCACTGTGCCACGGTCACGCTTTTTACGCTGATGAATCGACAAGTCCTGGGAATTTATGGGACCGAACTAGAGCGCGCGCATATCGATACGTCCGTTCGCGCGATCAATCGGACCCGCAATATTATCGAGATGTACGATTGCGATCGACAGCTGCACGTATCGTGACGACTGCGCAGCGCGACTCGGCGAAATTTAATTTCAAATAATAATCTGCGGTCGCGCATGACGGAAAAGTACGAGAATATTACCGATATTACATTATCACCGAAATTTCATTCCAGCAATAATACCGCGGTCACCAATGGAAAAGTGAGAATGTTACTGATATTGTATTGTCCGTTGGAATTTAATTTTGACAATAATCCCGTGATCACGATGTACAGCTAAAAATATACGAGCAATATTAAAACGTTGACAGCGGTCAGTACCACAAGAAATTTAGCGTAATTTAGCGGTATCCATTATAATCGTGCGTTTATTATCAACATTAATATCTACTACATACTACGTTTTACATTATTTGCAATGTGACGAACGTGTACTTATATGGGTTTACTTCATTTATTTCAATTCCATATATTTTGCAAAATCTCTTCATTCTTCATATTTTTATAAATTATTATTTTCAAATTAGAGGTAATTTATAAATATACCTCGTGATGAGCTACAAATATTCGTTATGCTATTTAATTCCATGACTGCTTTTTTGAAAACTTATTGAGGGACCGCTTTGTTATATGATAAATCGATAGATATTCAATCACGCTATTACACACCGCCGAGCAGCTCGAATGCGCGCGAAATTGATGAAAATACGCGGCGCGAAATCGCATTTCAGTTAAAACCCATCGGCTCTTACGCGCGCTGTAAATATGCGTGATACCGGTAATTATTTCGTTCTCTCGGTCGTCCCCCTTCGTCGGCCGGAAATCCGCTGCAGTTAATGCGGACAATAAAACCAGTCAGTTCGACTGCCGTAATAATATTGGGGCCCGAAAACGTGTCGACCAAACTCAATTTGCCGGCAATTCGTCGATCAGTGCGCTGTCGTCCGCGATAATCCATGGACGTCATAACTTTTACGAATTTCAAAATCATCACGAACGTGCAACTGAGCGCGATAATGAACTTTTACACGGGACATCTCAAAACTGTCCAAATATTTTTCGTGACCATTTTCCAGAGATAACAAACGTATATGAAGCTAAATAAACAAAACTGAAGATATGCACCTTTTTAATTATGCAGAATACAATGTTATATATAAAAAAAAAAACGCTTTGCACTAAGAGGAATTCTACATTGAAAGAAAAGATTGGCTGCTGCAACAAATTATATGGTAAAATATGGCTTAGCATTTTTAATTGGCTGCAACAGCCAGTTTTTTGTTGCAGCAGCCAATGTTTAGTTGCTTTAATCTATCTGCAATGTCAGTATAAGATTTCGATAGGTTAACGCAACCAAAAATTGACTGCTGCATCAATTAAAAATGCTATGCCATATTCAGCCAATCTTTTCTTTCAGTGTAGTATAAGAACAATTGTCTCACTAATTAGATTTTCATTAAAAGAACTCCAAATTTAGTTAATGAGATATAGAGACGACAAATGTACTTATACCAATGAAAATTAATAAATCATATTTTCCATGGCGGCGGAGAGGTCAAACAGCATGAATTCAAAGCCACTAAATTCTCAATTTAACTCTTGTACGATACTCTCATGGTATTATTGGACTTGAATTCGTCGGTACTTGAACGAAATTTCATTTGGCTAGAATAACCATTAATTATGCACACATATTAAATGGTGGGCAGTATATTTCAGTCTTCACATTAGCCACACTTGATCATGATAGCGGATACATTTAATCAATTTATTTAACTTTGTAACAAATGAGTACTAAATAATATCCAAAGAGCGAATATAAAAATAAAGAAAAGATAACTTCAATATTTCAAGGAAATCTTAATAAAAAAAAATGTAAGAAATATTATCGAATAATTATTAATCCTACTTCTCGATACAAAACTTCCCATAACTTATAGAAAAATGTTAAACATGTTTAAAGGCGTAAAAGAATAATAATTACGAGCTCATATATTTATGCACGCAACTAAAAATAAGAACGAGCTTTCTATTTCCAATAATGCGAATTTAATTTTCTTTTATAATGTAGCAAAGATCCGTAATGCATTACACTATCTTCCTCAGTATCCTGATTCTGACAGTGTCGATATCGTTATCTACATTGTGATTATGCGAATATTATTATATATGTGGTAAAAAAAGCTACGACAATGTAATAATACTAATAATTGTCACTGAGAGTTATAGAATCAAAGTATTGAATTTATTTAAAACTATCAATACGTAAATTTTACGTACAAGTGAGCGAGAAATTATTTAGCGCTAAGTTATGCCTTCAGTGGTTATAGGAAATCCAATCTGTCATGTTAAAAATTAGAATAAACGGAGAGACAAGTTCTTAAAAATTCTGTCTTTTATATATCAATTTAGATCTCCAATTTAGGTCAATATTATACAAGAGAGAGTAATAAATAATTTCAATTTTTATGCAATTTTGTGTTATCATTTTATTTATTATACTTTACTTAAATATTACGAGGAGACATCCCAAACAACACAAAGTCTAAAATTGTGACACAAGACGTCTTTAAGTCGTCTTTTAGACGTAAAAAAACGTCTCATGACCCAATTTTAGACACTTTTTGTGTTATCTGGGATACACACAATTAGATTACATATCTACTCTTGCCATTTCAAGATTGAATTTGATGGTGTGTTTATCCTTTCTATTTTGTATTAATTTAATTAGATTATTTATATTTATAAAGATCTATTATAAATATTTTGCCGTTAAAAGTGTGAAATGTATGCAAAATTTGTGTTACATTAATTAAGAATAGTCTATTTCCTTGTACGTAAAATTTATGTATCAATAGGAATATTGTATTACTTAAGATTAATAACGTTTTGGGGTTAAAGGCACAGATTCCGTTATTAAAAGTTCTCTCATAGCAGCATTCGTAAAACGCTAACTTCGTACGCGCCAAAGTAACATAACACGTGGGCTCGTTGAAGCACGCGGCAAAACTTTCGACGTGAATATCGAAGATATTCGCTATTCAGACTCCACTTGAACCGGTCAAGTAGTATACCGCTCGGATTCGCGGGCCGCGTGTGGAGTGGGCGGATTTCCGACCGGCGCAGCACGGTGTGGGGTTTAAACTGTCTGCGAAGTTGGCTCTCGCGCTCCCTTTTCCAACCCTTCGCTCTTTATCGTCGACTCCGCGAGCATCGTTTTCATCCCTCTCTTATCGGTGAGGGATGCATTTGGCTGCGTGCATCTATATACCCCTCCCTTCCTCTTCTCTCTCTCTCTCTCTCTCTCTCTCTCTCTCTCTCTCTCTCTCTCTCTCTCTCTCTCTCTCTCTCTCTCTCTCTCTAGCTCATAGGGTCATTGTGAATGTGCACGCGCGAGCCAACCACCACAGGCAAAACTCACCCCGGCATGTGTGTCGAACTGCGGTGAGGTGCTTGTGCAACGTTTATGTGCGCGTGCATGCTCACCGTTAAAACCGGATGACCCACGAAATATCGGGATGGCTGGAGTAAACGCGATTACCGTCGATATCCTCGAACCGTGCGCCCCCCAGCAGGATGATAGAATTCATTTATTGCACAACGAGTGTATTTGTTATTTGCGCAGTTCGTATCGTCGCGATGTTAATTTCAATTAAATGAATTTCACAAGATGTTAAATTTAGTTTAAGATTCCTTTTCGTGTTACTCTGTGCCCAATTTCGCGACTATGCATCTCAATGTGGAATAGATGGATATCACTATGTTGCTAGTTCTAGACTATATTAGAGTACTCTGTAACGCATGAATATACCATTAATACGCCTATAACGAGCGAGCAAACGGCTTTGCGATAACGTTGCAGCAAGATCCCTCCAATATGACCAGCGGCGATACATT